AACAACTGTTAAAATTAATTAGATTTTCTTCAAATTTCACCACAAATATAGTGAAAATATAGTTTAACAGATTTGTTTCTAAAATGAAAAATTAATGGGCTGTATATAATATAACTATCTGTGTCAAGGCATTAAAGCTTTGGTAAAGTTAAAGCTATACCTTTACATTATTATTATATTTGAAAATCATGATTTATAATATAATAAATGTTGGTTCTATATAAATAAATATGCTTTTATTAGTTTTTGCACCTCTTAAGTGCAGTTTGAGCTCAAACTAAAGTACATATTTACACATCTGCTTTATATGTAAATTTGGCTTTACATATTTTAATTTTAAATTTGCATTTACATCGTTTTTATTTCTATATTTTCTTTTTCTTTTCTGTATATTTATTTTCCCTGTTCCATACATTTCGTTTATTTAGTTTCTCTTGGTTTAATATGTTAAGTGGATTCCACATTGGTTTGGTAACATTGGTTGCGGGCTGTTATGCTAACTAAACTGCAAACAAGGCTTCAGGTGCACATTAAAGTATATCTGAAAATTTTATACCACTGTAGTTACTATTTTGTATTAAAATATTATTATATTTATTATAAAATAGATATAATTTACAATTGTAAAAAAAAGACTGATGTGAGTAGAAAATAAAAACTTATAGATAAAGGTTTATTTTTGTATTTATTATTATATTGTAGTATATATTAATATCATCGAAACGTTTCGCGGTTTGTTTATCTTCTTCTTCAGAGTAGAGTATTTTTACAGTTGTTCTTGAAAACATATGAGGCAGTTATTTATACTGGAATCCGTTTACAAATTAAGTTTTAAATAATAACTAATAAAGAGGTTTTTTCGAACAGTAGTGAACTACAACAACAAAAGTTTAACTTTATATTATTTTAATTAATTGAGTTTTTGGCTGACCATACAGCTGTTTCGAGTATTGCCAAATACCCATTATCAGTGATCTTGGAAATAATTCTTGTATATAATTATTCGTAAATAATTTTTTGGAGGCTGCAAGTACCAGGAATCGAACTCATGCCCTGCCAAATTTGAAGCTTAAAGTCAGTAGACTTTAACCAACTGACCCAAAGTCATACTAATAATTAATAATAGTCTATTATTAGAATATAAATTACAGAATATAAATTCTATTAATTATTTTCAATTCACTTCAGCCTTTTCTTCACCAATTAATTTAAAAGTTTTTAAAGTAATTAAAACTAAAAGTAATTAAATAAGTGAACTCACAACTACTCTAAACATAATTTACTTCTTTATATTCTATTTTGCATTTTATTAATAAATAAAATATTTTTTATTCGTTTATTATTATGTTCAAGCGATCAGTGCACTTGAGCACTTTTACTCTCTATTAACTGCGAGGTAACTTCTTAACCCCTTTTTACGCCTTGACTGGATTATTGTTTATCACTTCATCAGACTAAGCCATAATTGACCTCAGATCTGCATACTTCCCCGAGGAGTCTGTAACCATTTTGAGATTCGATAACATGGTGGTGGTAAGTCTGTCAGTTTTCGCAAATAATTTCAAGGCGCTATCCTTTATGCATTTTTTGATTAGATTAATTTTGAGGTCTCTGAGGATGTCACTCATCCTCATGTACCATTGTGCCTTGAAAAGTCTTCTCAGAACCTGGCTTTGTGCAATTTTTAGCTGGCGAATAGTAGTGTTTAAATGTTTGGAACAGTTGAGTGCTGTTATTAAAAAAGCAATTTCCCAAAACTACCTACTTCTTCGCTTATTTCTGTCATTTAATTATCATAAAACTAAATATATAATAAAAAAATGAAGTAATTGTGTTTTAAAAAGTTTTATCGGAGATTTTAGTTCCCCACTTCATTTTCGCCTCTCAAATTCAGGATATTAAAGTAATTTCTCACATTAAAAACGCAAAGACAAAGTTTTCAGTGCTTGAGAAAATCGTGAATTTAAAATTAAATGTCGCAGCATTAAGCAAAACATTATTATCCTGTTATTGTTATCCTTTATTATTCCATTT